CCCCAGTGTGGCACATTAATTTTGATCCTTTTTACTAGCGCCTTAACATTTGGTTGCACTTTACCCTCATGAGCGCTTAAATCTGGAGTTCTTTGGAAAGGACACTACGACTTCGGGGAGGGAGGTGAAGGGGAGCTTCACTGAAAATGAACAGGGAAGTTTGGGGTGTAGCCAGTTCCTTGATGATCAGGAGATTCTGATTGTAAGGCAGTCATCAACGAGAAGCTTCTACTCTTCTGGCTACCTCCCCTCCATTCGAAGACAAGGTCCAGAACAAGTGTAGATGAACGGGGCATTTGAAGTCAATTTAGCACCTCTTGTGTGTCCTGCCTTTCATAGACACGAGAAGCTTCTCCAGGAGGACGCGCACTGTTTTAATTTTTGTAAAGAAAAGATCATATATACAAGCTCACCTGTACGGTATCGATCCCACGTAGTAGTTACCAAGGTAGAAGGCATTTGTGAGAGCGATTAAGGCTAACACAAGACACAGGGTGCGTGACATGGCCAAACTCGTGTAAGTCGAATGCGCCTGCTGAAGGGGGTGGAGCCTGAGAAAGATGGGGAAAGGAGTTACTGCGGGGAAAGAACTTCTATGTCGCCGACGACGACGTCGTCAGTGACTACTGAACATGTAAGGCGTTCTCGCCTATCCATTCTGACCGTGCTTCGGAGATTGACGACGGCACGCTCAAGTGCCCTTTTTTCAGGGTTGAATTGAGCAGTTAACAACGTCGACTTCATGTGATTTCGTGTTGAAGAGGCCCATCATCCATTACTAGAGCCAAACTTTTCAGACGGAGAATGCGGAAAAACAAAATCTATGGGCAGCTGAGCTGCTCTTCCCGATTACTAGCCACGCACTCGTGGCCATCAGATGCTATAATGAGAACGGAGATCCCCCTTAGCAGTACACCTACAGACGAAGGAGCTCACTACACGCTAATATTCCTTTCAAGATAGTTGACCTTGCAAAGATGACCTTTTCATCAACGCTGTGGAAACCCTATCGTGATGTGGATCCCAAAGCGGTGATGAAAAGGTCGCTTCATCTGTATCTCATCGCCAAAAGGAGAGGGATATCTTTTGCGCAAGTCCATTTCTCCTTTCACCTCCCCCTTACCGTTCGACAGACGTGGGAGAGGAGGTCGTTGTAAAACATGTTCATATCCAGTTGTTGGCTAGTGAATATAGGGTGAGAAACGCTTTTTGGATAGCATTTTTAGATTGCCTTCTAGCATCTTCACTGCACGTAGGGATTTTAAGGTTACGAAACTCCCATCCGGTCCCATCATACCGGACAGCGAAGGCTCTGCTTCTTGTCGAGGAAGTATCTCTCGTAGCCTATAAAAAAAGAAGTGCCCGAACCCCTCCCCCCTGTTGATCAAGGGCAGTTGGCACGATGGCTGGGGGTGGGCGGTTTCTGCCAACGTGATTGTGGATGGCTGAACGGAAGTAGGCAAATGAATATCAAGCAGCCATTAATAGGCTTCGCGCAGCAGACCATCCGCCACCTTTATGAAATCATTTATCAAGGAGGTGAGGAGACGGGAAAGGCATTGATCTCATTGCCCATGCCAGCCAATGAGTTAAGACGCTCCGGTCCACTTTAGCGTTACGAAGGAAGTATAGCTCAGAACCACTTTGCACATGCCGTGAACTTCCCGATTTAAGCTTGAATTCATTTAGTTAGTTTACTTTGGAGTGATAATACAATCGAACTCTCACCCCTCTCAGTAGGCGCTGCGTGGCGCCCTCCCGTAACTAAGGACACCGTTAAAGCGCCTAATCACGACATGCCGACACCGACGCCCATCGCAACCGCCCGCCCACAAATGGCCGTATCGTCACAGCAATGCTGGTGCTCTAATCGTTTCATTTATGAAGTACATTTTCTGGATAAATGAATATAAGAATGCGTTTATAAAAATACGTGCAGCCGGACCTAATAAAACAGTTCTTGGCGCGATGCCAACGGGTAACTCGTCCAGAAGTACTCGTCCAATGCCGTGCACAGTAAAACTTTTTTTGCAGGTTTTTGGTCGTCTAGCCTCCTTTTTCGTCATTTCTCCACTACATAGCACCCCCGCTACTATTTTTGAGCAAACAGCAAATTGCCTTACCTTATGCCTTATCAATGCCAGAGATCAGTTGGCGATCCTTGAAAGTAAGTTCAAGTGACAGATAGCCAATGTGTGATAGATCTTCTGCATATCGGGTCTACGACTTCTTCATTTCCTATGGAGACTGCGAGTTTGCCTGTACTATATGTAAAGGTAAAAACTCTGAACTGACCAGCAAACGTAGCTTGTCAGTGCATAATCCAGTGCTGTTAAAAATGTCTTCACTGCATTCGAAATTGTGGGTGCGAGGAATACTAAAGAACGAATTTGACTTTAGGTTTGAATAAAGCATGTCCATTTTGCATATATCACAGCCAGCCGCGCACGAAATGTGGCCGTCCTAGCACATGCATAGCAAAAATCACGACCAGTCCTCACCAAACTCACCAGGGTCAGTCTGCTCTAGTACCTTATGTGATGGTCTGTATGTCTTGCACAGTTTCGCGCAATCCGGGGTGCCGATTTTCAAAAGCATTTTGGGGGGAGAGGGCAGGGGACAATTCGGACAAACCCACTTCAGTAATGGTTTGGAGTGGAGTTTCGCTACTGCTGCCAAGGTACCGCTGGTTTTCGTCAATACCGACGTGGATATCCATCAAAAGCTCTTACTGTTAGGCATACCGTAACCTAACCTTGCATGAGTCTTCGCTTTTATCTTCTCAGGCGAGCCTAATACCAGTTCACCGGCCTTGGCTCCATTGGCCTGGGTGGTAGCCACTTCGAGATCCGCACCTCGGACCGCTCCCGCGGCTGCCGGCACCACCTCCATACATTTTTTTCATACACTTTATAAAGTGAGCTGAACAGCTGAGCGCTACGGGAGGATGATCTCGACATTTCTTTCACTTCTTTGGACTTAGCGCGCTTTTTTTTAGGGCTCGAATTTCATCGAACACTACTTCAATACAAAACAATCTGAGCGCATTGCCTTACTGAGGCGATAATCTCGGCGCAGTTCACATTTGAAGCATAGCCTTGAGAACAGAATAAACGCCATTTCTTGTGTACAAGCCCAATATCAGAAACCGTGAAATGAGGCTCAAGAGATCCACGTTGCGGAGATGCAGCGAAGGCGGCGTTGCAAACGGTTGAGAGGAGCTTCATGCGTACCAGAAACTCATGTATTCGACTTGAATTGCCACAGCAGCTTGAGTTACTGTGCGTAACTGTAGCACGGTTCTCTTGGCCCAGGTCTAAAAGCGTGCCCCAATAATGGCTTTCATGAAGCAAAAGGTGTTAAGTTGAATTTCACTGACTAGGGAAGGTCGTCAGGTCGAAGTGGCCATTTGTGATGAGATGTAGATCACTAGACGTGGTTTTGGACGCTGATCTTGAATCTGCCTTCAAAATTTGCAAAGCGATTCTCTGAACGGAGTTATGGAGCCGCGTTTACCATCGGCAACAGTCATGGGACGGATCTCTTGCTAAGCTTCATTTTTTTGGCTTGTTTGCGCAATGTGGCAAAAAGTGATTTTGCCGTCACTACTACTTCAGTTCTCACCTGAGCTTGTCTGAAGAAAAGTTTGCCTCCATTTATTACTGCGCTTGGACTCCTTGTAGAAGCACTGTAGTGCACTGTAGTCTACAAGGAGTCCAAGGGCAGTGATAAATGGAGGCAAACTTTTCTTCAGACAAGCTCAGGTGAGAACTGAAGTAGTAGTGACGGCAAAATCACTTTTTGCCACGTTTGCGCAACAAGCAAAAAAGTTAAGCTCAGCAGGGATCCGATCCCATGACCTGTTGCGTGGTAAACGCGGCTCCATAACTCCGTTCAGAGAATCGCTTTGCAAATTTTGAAGGCAGATTCAAGATCAGCGTCCAAAACCACGTCTAGTGATCTACATCTCATCACAAATGGCCACTTCGACCTGACGACCTTCCCTAGTGAGAGTCGCTAGATAAGCAAATGTTTTGTCTATCGAGGCACGAAAAGAATCTTCGCGCTGTCAGCTCTCTGAAATCCTGGAATCAACAAGTTGGATAACGTTCCTCACATGCCCATTCCTCACGTGGTCAACTTGTGCAGAAAAGAAGCTCACCTCAATTCCTTTTTGAATCTTGGTTGATTGGTGAAGGGTGCGGGGCGGATGTAAGTAACAAGTACAAGGGCTAGTAAGATGATTATTGTAATCGAGAATGGGTGGAGCTCTCGTGATCGCTGCCAACAAGAATTTTCTCGGGATATGCTGGTGAAGAAAAATTCATTGATGGGGGGAAGTGAAGGTAATAGAGCGAGTGGCTAGTTGCGTCTCTAGTTACGCGCAGAGGGCTGGCTTGGCTCAGCGAGTTAAACTTTCATTCTTCTTGGGGCAAGTACTTACCGCCACATTCGTCTGGAGGCTTGTTTGGCTTGCAGGGGCATTTTGCACTTTGGCTAGTTCCCTTTGTAGGCTCATGTAAGTAACAGGTCTCATTTGATGAGACCTGCAAACTCCTATATGCTGTGGAATTGGTCAATTCTCACAAGACCGAGCAAGTCTTCACAAGGTGGCTTTGCAAGCTTGACTGAATATTATTGATGCCGCCCCCACCAAGCTTTACGGTTGGGCTCATGCCTTCAAATTCCACCGGTTCCCGCAAACAAGGTCATGTCTCCCGCCTAACTAACGGTATGGTAATGAATAGCATCTAAGTAACGGCTTCTAAAATTTCTAGTCACTTCATATTTGAACGGACAAGCTGGCAAAGCGCCAGAGATACGTGCGCTAAGCGCTTGGCATTTCATTGATAGGATCGCGATGCGTTTATTTTTTCCGAGAGATTTCAGTCATTACCAGGGAATTCCGTTTTCGGCAGTATAGTACATGCCACATTCGGACTGCTCAAGTCCGAGTGCGCACTCTCATTTTTATTGCCTTTATGCAGTTTGAAAAAATGTCGACTGTCTTCCTCATCTTCGGATTAAAAAAAATTGGTCAATATTCGCGAATATTGGCCTTCTAATAAGTCGATCAGCTTGGCTGAATACGAAAGCGACGACGAGCAAAATAAGGTAGTGACTTTGAGCACAGCTTGCTAGGGGTAAAATTTTGCAAAGCAACGGTGATTGCGAGTTTGTCTTCGTCCCTTATAAAAACAAGAGCGGTGTATAAGGCCCTGCGTACGAAGAGAGGTGCCTTGAGCTCAATGTTTTTCCACAATCGGTCCCGTCCAAGCCCTGGATTGGACGCGTCCCTTCCGTCTAGGATGGGCGGAATTTGGTTTGGTAGACCATATTGCTGGTTCCTATCGACTAATGTCGATGCCGCCTGTGAAGACCTGTAAGTTCCTGACCTATGCAACAGCTGGCAGCTTCATTTTCACTCGAGTAGAAGCTACAGGTGTCGCCAAGGTGGCAAGTGTAAGATACCGGAAGTAGCAAAAGAAACGGCGCAGTTTCGTG